CCAGCCAATCTTCATATTATAATCAAGCTATTTATATTTTTACTTTATTAGATACCTATTCTTATCAGATCTATACGTATGTCTGCATTAATCTTATAAACATTTAATCCACAAAATCCATGTTTTTTTATTGAATTATTATTTTATTGAATCCCATCATAAGTTCATTTGGTCTTTTGAGTATTTCTCAAATTCTTAAATACAAAATATACAGAGAATAGTTTCTCTAGAAATCAATTCAAAATATGGCGGAGCGACAGCGACGTAGCGCGACTTTGTCCGCCACGGCACGGTCCACGCCATAGCCACGCCACAGGGTTTCTGGCGGCTTTTTCCAGGTGATGAAGTAGGTCTTATGGACGGCAGCAAGTGGGGCCTTTCGTCTTTGCAGACGCCGTCGAAAGGGCCAGAGGAACCAGTGGAGGGGGCCACGACTGATGGGATGTGAAGGGACAGAGACAGCAGCTGGAGGGGAAGTGTGCAGCGCCTCCAGCTGCAGCTTTGGCAACGATTGCTCCACCACAAGCGAATCTTCGCCAGCTGTATGTGTTGGCAACGAAAGGGCCTGCATTTCCTGCTCGCTGTGGACGGGTATGATCCGTGTGGTGGAGCTGAAGACCTCGACATCGTCATCATCGTGGACTATCCAGGGCTTATAGCCCACTGGCTCGGGCTCCTCCAGCTCCTCGAGTATTGGCGAAACGCGATTGCTGCGATTGCACTTGAAGCAGCGAGGCAAACGGGAGCTCAGCTTCCGTTGCAGTTCAGGCTGACGGACGTTCAGCTCCGGCACGTGCTGCAGCGGCGCTTGCTTTTGGCTCTGCTCCGGCACCTGCTGCGGCATCTTGACCAGTATGAAGTGATCGTTGAGCAGGCAGACATCCGACACCTTATCACACTTCTCCTGCTCGCTGAAGAACGAATCCAAGTCAACGCTCTGCGAATAGATTCTATAGTCCTCGCGATGCAGCGCCAGAAGCTGATTTCGCTGCAGTGCCACGAAGCTGCCACGTTGCTGTGTTTGAATGAAGCCGCCCAGCTGCTGGTCGACACATCTCACCTGTTGCACCTGCTGCTCGAGAACGGCCTGTGTGCTACGGCAAATACCTCTGCTCCTCATACAACTCCAGTTACCATATCGCTGCTCGAAGAATCTGGCGAAGATCTGGGCGCTCTTTCGGTTGCATTGCGGTCGCTGCTGCGGCATCAGCGCCGTGGACAACGACATTCTGATACATCCAAAATCAGTTTGAATGAATTCCTAGAGCAAGATATCACAAATCAGTTCACATTAATGACGCTTAAAACGTAGTTGATAGTTAGATGTTCAAAAAGGCATTACAGAGTAAAAATATTGCAAATGAATCATGAGCCGTAACCTAGTAATATTTACATCGCAGCCGACTATGCACTATCCTCAATTTAGTTGTGATAAATATAGAGCTTCCGAACACGAATTCCATTTAACTGTTGCACACGCGTGAAAATGCATTATTTAGCAATTGCGCTCGCAATGTAATTGAATATCCTAGACGTAAGTGAAATCGTTTTTCCTGTCATTGAGAATAAAGTACTTTTTAGTCTTTACCCTTTGCCGGCCCGGCATAATATATATTAGCTATATAGCTAGCACACGTTTATCCTTTCGACTTTTGACTCGGCAATTTCAGTTGAGGGTCAGACTGCAGACTGCAGGCGCCAAGAAATGAAAGCCAAGGCAAAAGGCGACATGAGTCGCTTCCGCGTCACCCAATGCCAACGGCAACAACAACAACATCAGCGGCAATAGTTACAATAATAACAACAATAAAAAATGTATTTGATGCGGCACTGGCAACACGAAAGTTTTATTTATTATTTTGACAGGTAAACAAATCACTGGCTCAACACAAACACAAACGCAAAAGCCGCAAGCTCTTACTCATTCAAACACACACATACGCACTCATACTAATGCACATTGACGGTCTGCGCTTACATTTTGCTCTTTCTGTCTGTTTCGTATACGCCGTTAGTTTTGTTCGTCACGTTGCTCGCCGCTTCGCATGCCAAAGACAACTGAAGCCGACTTTTAGGCTGCGCTGCGCTGCTCGCGTTGTCAGCTTGCACGACGTAAGCGCCTAGTGTCACGTAATGCCACGTAACGTAACGCAAGCGCAACGGCTGCTGGCTGTTGCTAGCGCATTTGCATTTAGCCTGCGTTTGTTGCTGAAATAACAGAATTGACAATTAAAAAGACAAACAATCGAATACCCGGCGTGCCTATTTGTGCATGTGAGTGTGTGTGTGTGTGTATGTGTGTTTGTCTGTAGATGTGTTTTGCTGTGTGTGCGCCCATTAAAGGAACATTTGGAATGCATTTAGTGGAGTTGGCATAGTTAATGTGTTAACAAATACATATGCATATGTATGTACATAACGTCAAGGTCATCAAATGTTGTCCATATGTTACGTATATAACATATATAGATGTACGTAGTTGTATTTAACGGTCTCTAGCCATTTTTAAACTGACGTTACGAAGAGGAAGAGCCTGAGTATTGGGTTTACTTTAAAAAATGAATAATGTTCACTTTATCAACTAAAAAGGTGAATATTTTTTGTATACATACATAATGATTTAGTAGCTTTAAATTGAATAAAATTTACATATTTCTATAAATATTTTACTCCAACATTTTAATATGTGAAAGTTTATTTTATTTTTATTGTTTTAATTAGTTAATGGTGCTTAAGTTTATTATTAATTTTTATGTTTCCCCTTGTGTCATATGAATTTCACGCTAAGAAAATTCGAAATCTATTTTAATTAATTAAATTAATACGATTACAACTATTCAAAATTCGTTTTCAACTTTAATGCACATCAATGAATCAAACTATCCTATATACGAGCTCCATTGGCACCCAAACTCGACTTCATAATTGAGTTTGTTTTTGTCATTATTATTGATTCTTAATGCACGCAAATAATAATATGGCAGTGCAGACACACCACTCAATATATGCATGTGGGCGACAATAGGCGGAGGGGCGGGCCATAAAACCCGAACATTAATGTCCATTTGGATAATGGGAATACAGTATAGTCGGAGGGTTGTAGTTTCGCTGTGCTTCTGACTGAATCAGGTGGAACTGAACAGGGAAAAAAAAAACGGGAAAACGAATAAAAATGTTAGACGAGCTGCTAGACTTCATGATACTCGCTCACAAAATATAGAAGCAGTAGAGCTTAAATATTTAATATTTTTTATTTAAAATGCCTCAATTATTTAATCATATAATATCCATACTTAGTTGTAGACAAATTAAACTCTCAATATATTTGAAGCTTCAGTGGTGTAAATCTGTATGAGCCGAATATGCCCCTTTTCGGTTCCCGAACGAGTATTCAATATGGAACCAGTCAATGTTTACTTTGATTTGTGGCAAACAAAGCAACGCAACTGATTTGACGATTTACGAAAAAGTCACGAAAAGTTCAATATTTGATTTATGTATGGATAAAATTTCATACTTTAATGCTGAGCTATGGGGTTATTTTTAGGTGTAGCGGGGCTCTGGGAAAACACAGTTTTGGAAATGAAATTCTTAATGAGTAGCCTTCGCTCCGTCAATGCCTCCAAGCAGAACAATGGTCACAGTTATTTATGTTACTTTTATGGGGTATGCATAGTAAACCCAAGTATAGGGTATTATAAACTCCCATTCACGTTGAAGTACATCTTCAATTGCAACAAATCTAAGCATTTTGGACTAAATTGCTCTCATAAGCGAATATTTGCCCTTGCAGCAAATCAATCCTACATAGAATATAGTCCAAAAGCTGATCAAACAAATTGACTTCAATTATTCGCAGCGTTCGGCACTCGGAGCTGTTCAATTAGCGCGCGATCTGAGTTGAAGCAGAGACCCTTAACTGACCTTCCCCAATATGTAGTCAGAAGAACAAAAGGCATGATCTCCACTTGCAGAACAATCAAACTGGTTATATCAGAAAGAGGGAGGGGGTGAGTTTGAGAGGGGACGAATGAAAGAAGAAGAGCGAGAGCGATAATTAAAAACTGCAGTCATGAACATGCGATACGAAGCGCAAAGATCAGAGCGAACAACTGCCCAACCCAAAGCCCTGCCCCAACAATCGTATTATAAAGTTCATGTTTTGCTTTACTTTACACTCTGTTCAAGAAATATACATATGTCTATGCATATGTAGATACCTGTATATGCATATTAACAAGCTCGGACTTAGTGAACTTGAACTTGGACGCCGAACTGTTGCTTTGTCATCCGTCGCAGTGAGCGACTAATACAAACGAGCCGCGGAAAGCGTTTTGCCTTTGCTTTTTGTTGGTCTGCGCAAAGCGCAAAGCGCTCCGAAAACGGTAAATCATGCAATAGCAACAATAACGAGATGAGTAAGAGGTTTGATAATGAAAGTGCTTGACCGCCATATACCCTGTAAACAAATGGAAGTCAGGTCTATCAGGCGGTATTATCTGAGTATTTGAGCTCTTCCATTTGAGATAGAAATATATAAAAAAGTAATGATAATCGATAATAATCGATATATCGTATATCGAACGACTAGCTGAACAAATTTAAATTTGAAATTATCTGAATCTGTATGCTACATACTTTTGCATTAGCTGACACTACCCCATACCGTGCATGTGCACTAGGCATGCGAGACTTAAGCATAATGAAGTTTCATAATGAAGCTTCATATCACCTTTTGTTTTAAAGTTGTCAACCCAAGGTCACAGCTCGCCTTTGGTGTGGTTTGGGTCACCATAAACATATTTTTATTTCGGATCACTTTTGTCCTCGACTTGGCGCTAAATTTTGTTTACCAAGGATTCCCCACACAATCTCTGTCTCTTGTCCTCTCTCTCTATCGCTCGCTCTCAGTCATTCTCCCACACACTTTTGCACTCTTGTGCTCTTTCCATTTCGAAGCTCAGTCAAGTTTTCGTTGACTTGGCGCGCGCAGCTCAAATCAGTTGGTGGCAAGCAGCGAAGCATTGCGGTTGCAGAGCTGAAAGTAGCTTAAAAAAAGAAAACAAAAACAATATACGACTCGAGTTGCATAACGGAAATCAACTAATTTTTGTGGCAAGTTGCAAGTAGTTCAAATTGTTAAAGCGCACCTCGCTCCCCATCGAATTGCAAAAGACATTGCCATCTATTTGCCTCTCTCTCTCTCTCTCTTTCTCTCTCTCACTCTGTCTGCCTGTTTGTCTAAGACGTTGCAACATGTTGTTGCCACAAAAAGAGAATCGCCTCAGTCGGTCGTTCGGTCTGTCTGAGCGTTGAGCTAAGCGGAAAAGCCACTGTCTGTGTGTGTGTGTGTGTGCCACATAGTATTGCACGTAATTTTCATTTTGGCTAAAAACGAAAGTGAAAACGTTGCATATAAAAAAGCAAAAAAAGAAAGACAGAAAGAAAAAAAAAAACGCTTGCAGCTGGTTCACCTACGCCGACTCTTCCGCTCCTCTAAGCCCCGCTTCGCCTTCCACGACCATCTTCAACGAGCTCGTCGCATCAGCTCGTTCCCAAAAGGTTGCGAATACGGAAGACTGCATTTGTTACCGCACTTGAGGCATAAAACATTGAAATTAAAATGAAACGAAAACAAAACAAATTGAAAACTTTGCATTAAATATTTTCAGAAAGAAGCCAAACAAAATTACTCAACAGCATGATTGAGCGAGAAATTATACAGTAAGTGCTAAATGCTAACAATACTAATGGATTGTAATAATTAATATAAATTGTGCATTAGCAGCAGCAGCAGCAACAAAAACAACAAACACAAATCGTATAGAAACTGCGTGCATTGCAATGCATTCAGCATTGTCATCGACTTAATGGATATTTGTCAAAGTTCTTAGCCCAACAACTAGGCCAAGTTTTATCGTCAATACGGGCAGCACTATACAGACACATATACATATACATATATGTATGTATATATATACTGTTTATCTACGCTCATAGCTAGCTTGAGTTCGGCTTATCATCATTAGCATAAGGCAAAAGTACGTTGACCGTTTGAACGTTCAGCCGAATTGCACCTAAGGCCGCATGCAAATAGTTATATTAAATCATTTTTCGCAAGTCCAACTGTCGTTAGATTCGTTTGCATATCTCTGTTTATTTTATTATTATTTTTTTTTTTTTTTGCAAATATTTGCCAATTTCAAGTGAGACTGTTAATTGGGAAAACTGAAGAATATTTGCCACCTCTAAGGGATTTTTTTGGGACTTTTGGTTTAAGTATTTGCTATTAATGGCAGACAAAATATTAAAATTGTTTTTTTTTTTTTTATAGTTAACGATATTTTAGGGCAACAAATTTGTGTTAAAAATGTATATTTGTTATAAGTGAAGAACAGACATATATTAAATTTTTATTTTTATTTAATTTAATACATTGTTTGCTTCTTCCACTTCCATTTCAGCACAACAACCGCATCGAAAAGAATGTTTGAATTTTTGCAGGACCTTCTGCAGTTAGTAGTGCTGCTTGCCCGTTTGTTAATGGAGATATTGACTGTGCTGCTGCGATTGTTATTACCCAAAAACCTGAAAGATATAAGCAATGAGATTGTGCTGGTAACTAAATTAAGTTATGTTACACATTTACATATATAAATGTATGTGCACTCCTATATGCCCAGATAACGGGAACAGGGCATGGAATTGGCAGAGAGCTCGCCTTACACTATGCCGCTCATGGCAGCACAGTGATCTGTGTGGATATCGACGAGAAGAACAATATGAAAACTGTGCAGGATGTGAAACGCTTAAATCGTGGCGCAGTTCACAGCTTTAGGTGAGTGCGAAAGCAGATAAAGAATTTAATGGAAATTACTTTGAATTTTATTGCAGCTGCGATGTTTCGAAACGAGACCAGGTGCTGGCGCTGGCCAAGCGTGTGCAGTCGGAAGTGGGGCCTGTCTCCGTTTTGGTCAATAATGTGGGCATCATGCCGACGCATCCTCTGCCCCAGCAGTCAGCTGAGGAGATACTTCGCGTCTTTGATGTTAACGTATTCTCCCAGTTCTGGACCATACAAGCATTCCTGGATCAAATGAAGGAGCAAGGCAAAGGTCACATCATCTCATTGTCGTCCGTTGCCGGGCTGGTGGGTCTTTCCAACTTGGTTCCCTATTGTGCGACGAAGTTTGCCGTGCGCGGCTTGATGGAAGCGCTACATGAAGAGTTGCGCGAAGGACCGTACAAAGATTTGGTAAGCACACATAACATAAAGGCCGTTAAAGTTAATAAATACGTTTTCCCGTTTTTTAGATAAAACTTACGACTATTTTTCCATACATGACCAATACGGGTCTTTGCAAGTATCCGAAAGTTAAGTTTCCCAGTATTTTGGGTTTGTTGGATCCCAAACATGTGGCTATGCGCATCGTGGAGGCGCATCGATCCAATTGCCTGGAAGTTACGATACCCAGTTGTTTGATGTACATTAACAATTGGACTCGACTGTTACCTAGCAGCTGTGGCATTCTGCTGAAAGACTATATTGATAGTGGTGTCGAGTCGGATTTGAAGTAATTTTGTACTCGTTTGTCATAGAATATGTATGGAATATTAAAGGTTTTATTGGCCATCGATCAAAGTGTTTAAATGCAAGCAAAGTGGATTGCATTCAAATTGCCATTCAACTGCCAGTGCCAATTAATTACAATACTATATATCGATACTACTATCGACTTAAACATTAATTACTCTTTTAACTATTGCCACTAGCCAGTGGTGCTATTGCGCATACTATTAGACGTCACAATTTATATATGAATGACAGGGATTGAAATAAGCGCCAATTATAGTTTAAGCAGTAAAATACTTATCGATAATTAACAAACCTGGTCATACTCTTGTCTAATATAGCTTTGCGCTAATGAATTGCCGGCGAATTTTCACTGTTAGAAATGTTAACAGCCATTTGACAAACTAATTATTACTGTTAAATTTTGAAACAGATTAAGCGCACATTTTGGAACTTATTAATTTAAAATCGAGCTCAAATGACTTCTTTTAACGAAATCAACTTGAAGAGTATATCGCTTAGCATTTCTAATTAGAAATGACAGTAAAAACTATTTGAATAAAACAAAACATCAAAAAAAAAAGAACATAATCAAAATTAATATTATTTATAAGTAAAGAAAAAACATTCTGACGAAGATAGATGCATCTTCTTTCTGCACCATAACCACACTAAAAATAATATTAGCATTCTTGTTGGACTTTCTGCAGTTTCTAGTGCCGTTTGTACGAGTCACAATGGAAATAATACGTACAATGCTGCGATCATTAGTGTCTAAAAAACTGAAGGATGTAAGCAAAGATATTGTCCTGGTAACTAAGATAAGTTATCCTAGCATATATAAATATATATGAATTTATACATGGCCAGATAACAGGCACAGGGCACGGAATCGGTAAGGAGCTAGCCTTAATCTATGCCGGCTATGGCAGCACAGTTATCTGTGTAGATATCAACGAGAAGAACAACGTAAAGACCGTCCAGGAGTTGAAGCACTTAGGTCGTGGCGTAGTCTACAGTTTTGGGTGGCTGCGAAGAACACTTAGAATATATGAGAAATTAATTTGATTTTATTGCAGCTGTGATGTATCGAAACGTGATCAGGTGGATCAGCTGGCCACGCGTGTGCTCAAGGATGTGGGGCCTGTCTCTGTCTTGATCAATAATGCGGGCATCATGCCAACGCATCCTTTGACCCAGCAAACCCCTGAAGAGATACTTCGCGTATTCGATGTTAATGTCTTTTCCCAATTCTGGACCATACAAGCATTTCTCGATCAAATGAAGAAACAGCGCAAAGGTCACATAATCGCAATGTCGTCCGTTGCCGGAGTGGCGGGTTTACCCAATTTGGTTCCATATTGTGCAACGAAGTTCGCTGTGCGCGGCCTGATGGAAGCATTGTACGAAGAGATACGCAACGGACCCTACAAAAATCAAGTGAGCGCATGCGATATAAATAATTGTCTACCTTGTTTAACATGGTTTACATCGCTTAGATAAATCTAACAACTATTTATCCATACATGACCAATACGGGCCTCTGCAAAAATCCGAGGATTCGGTTTCCTAGTATTTTGGGTTTGTTGGATCCCAAACAAGTGGCTATGCGCATTGTGAAGGCTCATCGTTCCAATCGCCTCGAATTAAGTATACCTAGCTTCCTGCTGCATTATAACAATTGGACTCGACTGTTGCCCAACAGTTGGCGCTTTTTTTTAAACGACAGTATTGGCAGTGGTGTGCAGTCGGATTTGAAGTAATGTTATATCTTTGTCATTGAATATGCATGGAGTATTAAAGGTTTTATTGGCCATCTATCCAAGTGTTTATATGTAATTCAAATTGGCGCGGTGGTGCGTAAGCAACCTTTCAATACATCAATACTAATATCGAGTGGACCACTTTACATGTTGGGTTGGTGATTCAAATGAGCACCAATCATTGGTTAAGTAGTCAAATGCATATCGATATTTATATCGTCTGCAGTATTTCAGTGAGCTACTATTGCTTACATTTTCTACAATAACAGCTGTTAGTACATATGTCTGGCAGCACTCTGCCGTCAGCTGTGCTATGACAACAAAGAAAAATGGCTTGCGAAGTAAAAACATTTGGAAATATTTTAGATTTTCGTAAGATACAAGAATACTTTGGACTGGGACATGGTAAAAGTGCAGCAATTAAGCTTTTGTATGAACTAGATAATTGTTTTCAATTCCCTAATAGACGACAATTGGCTTAACGGTATCAACTATGCCATGTCACCCACTGGCGAGGCGATTGCACTAGCGCAGGGCGAGAAATTGGCATTTCTGACCACCTGCTGGAATAGTCGTAGCAGTGAGAATAGCTATACGCTCAGTTGGTGTGGCGAGCTGGAGGATGGCAATCAAATTGTCACCAGCCTTTTGTGTATGCCAATGCTGCGTGGCACGGATGTCGAATGGACTTGCGTGGCAGTCGGCTTGTCCTCTGGCTTGGTTACATTCTATACAGATACTGGTGTGAAACTATTTTCTCAATGGTAAGCTATAGATAATTATATATATGTTCACAAATTCAAATTGTGTAAAATTTACATGTATCAGCTGTCAGGAGGAATCTGTTTTGGGCATCAAGCTATTGTCGCCTCCGCGTCACACAGAAGCTGATGCGTTGTTGTATATTGTTTACAGCAACTGCATGTGCTTCATAAATGGCGAAGACATACTGCCCATGCTTTCCAATTGCCGGCGTAATATGGAACGTAGCGTTTACTCCAGCTCCGATGTGGTGCCCTTTCAAAAATTCAAATTCAAGCTACAGAGAGAAAGCATCCTCAATGATGCCGTTATCTGCACGAATCAGCGTTCGCCCACATACGATTATATTGTACAGCAAAGTATTTCGAACGGCTACTTTGCTCGGGTGCAGGCGACGCCCATGCGCAGCGCCCAGGTCTTGGCGGCCGGAGCAGAACCCTACTTGGGCTTCTTTGAAGCAGAGGAGGGCTACAAGACGGTGACGCTCGGTGAAGTGGCTAAGGATGTCATTGGGATGGCGTACAAAAATCTTTTAGGTGGACTCTTACGACGTACACCGGCTACAACGCCAGAAGCGCCGGAACAGTTGCCGCTGCCCAGCAAGGAGGCGCCTATGCGCACGCGCTGTCGCCTCTACGATGGGAAACGCGATGGCCTCACTTTGATCCTGGCGCCTGGCGGAAAGCTGGCTGCTGTTACAGATAATCTGGATCGTGTGATGCTAGTGGATACACAGCAAGCGATTATACTGCGAGTGTGGAAGGGCTATCGAGATGCGCAGTGTGCATTTGTGCCAATCAAAGAGCGTTCGGTGCGTGGCATAAAGACACATAGGAGAAAAGCACTCTTTCTGGTTATATATGTGCCTCGCCTTGGCTGCCTGGACATTTGGGCCCTGCAGAACGGACCCAAAGTGGCCGCGTTCAATGTCTGCAAGAGCGGCCAATTGGTTTACAACAATCACAGTCCGTTGGGCGCGGCGGGCGTGCAGATGCGTCGATCGCCCAACTTGAGCTATTGCCTGTTTCTTGACCCGAGCGATGGCAGCCTCAAGGAGGTGCACATACCATTCCATTACGCACTCAGTGAAACGAACTCGCAGACGTCTCGAGACATTCACTCGCTGCGCCGCCTGCGCAATCAGCTGCGAGCGCTGAGCCATTCGGGCGAGGACAGACAGGAGCAGATCGTTGGCATAGCCAAGCTGGCTGGGGAGCTGGAAACGTTGGAGGTGCGTCAGCAGTGTCTGGAAATGCTGCTCAAAAGCAAGCGACTGCATCCTGAAATATTTCAAAGTATTGTAAACGCCTTTCATCAGGCGAGTGCGCAGGATGAGGCCAGTCAAGAGTTTCTGCAGCAAATCGCCAACTACAAACGCTTGACTGATCTCTATTTGACCTTGAGCAAAGCTCAAGAGCATTATCGCGACATTGTTGCCCCAGACGTGGAGCTTTTGGAGCTCTCCGATGCCGATTTGGTTACCATCAATCAGCTAGTGATTCTATTGGAAAACAAGAACGATCAGCCAGCTGTACGCGAGGTGAGCTTCCAGCTGCAGGACTCACATAAAGTGGAGGAATTCTTGGAATTTTTGAGCATCTTTAACATCGACACGCCCAACTGCGTGACGCTCCTACCATCAAAGTCGGATAAATATGGCAGCGTTAGCAACGATCTATTTGGCGATTTCTTTACACAGATTCAGTGTCTGGAGCAGTTCAAGCAGTGGGTCACCCAGGCGTGCATACCCACCAAGGACTTGCTTACCCTGGTCATATTCTATTGGCTCGACAAGCCATTCAAGTATAACAATTGGTAAGAATGAACCATACTTAATTGAGGACATGCTTATCTAACGCGTTATCCTTTTCCTCCCGCACGCAGTGATGAAGTCGTGGAGGAAATGTCCCGCATCGCCTGCATTGTGCGTGCCATCTGTGAGCTGGCTGGCGATGAGATCAACGACTATGCCTATAAAGCCATTTCGCCGTGGTGGCAGCAGGTGCGCGAGCTTCTACTCGAGAGCAAGCAATTCTCGGGCCTGCTGGTGGCCATTGTCTGTCGAATGGTGGCCACACGCCTGTGGCGCAGCCGACGCGATGGCTCATGCGATGACAGTGCGACGGAGGATGACGAACGCTGGGAGACCATATCACACGATGAGGCACAATGGGGACTGCTCACTGGCAAGCTGGAGGATGTGGCTGTGCTGGGTGCGATACTCGGGTGAGCTCAACAGACTCTTAATAAGTCAGTAAGCGAAATAGTTAGAAATTTTCTTTGCTCGCCTGCAGTCAGTCGAAAACTTGCCGAGAGCCCGTTGGACCGGAGTTGCCTTACGAGCAGCCCGACTGCAGCTTGAAGAATATTCTTAACAGTGGCAAGGGCATTGTCTCGGAGCTGACAGCCAAGTGGCTGATTAGCTCGCGATTGCATCCCTCGCTAATTGTGGAGGTAACGCCGCCTGGCAACGAAACGGACGATGAGCCCGAGCAGAAGTCGAAGAAACAGAAGAACAAGATTCCAGACCCTAAGCTGGAGGAAGACGAGAAAGAGGAGGATGATAGGCAGGAAGAAAGTGCAGTGGAGCCCAGTCCACCGCTGGAGCCGGTGCTGGAGCGTTTAGCTTTGCTTCGCGCGCACTTTCCCTTTAGCCTAGAGTCCGGCGTGCTGCTCAGCCTGATGGCCTGGCAGCACATGGTGCACTGGAGTAAGCAGTTGGGCCACCTGGAGCATATGCGCGCTGCGCTCCTTTGCCTACAGCAATACCGCACTCCAGACCTGGCGCTGAAGCACGGCACCTGCTGTCTGATATGGAATGCGACATTGAAGTATCCTTTGCAGGCGACGGCCAAGCTAATGCAGAAAGTGGGTCGCCTGCCCGTGGATAAGATGTGCCAGCAGGATCTGGATATGTCGGCGGGGCTGGTGCCCGAGTTTCTCGAGCTCTGCTTAGAGTTCCTGGAGCACTTTACCAGCTCGCTGGAGCATGACAAGCGTGAGCTGCAGTTCGAGCAGTCTCTGAGTGACGGACAGCAGCCGCTTCAATTCCTGGCTCTGCAGCAGCACCACGCTCTGCCCGAGCTGCTCCAGCTGCACACACAGCTGTGCACCGTGCTGCACTTCATAGCGCAGTTTCAGCTGCGTGTGCAGCGTCCACTGACCACGCTCTTCGACTCCCTGAGTAACAAGGCGCTGCTGGCCGACATCAACAAGGAGCTGGCCTATGCGCTGCCAGCGCCAGATCTTGTGCTGCAGGATCAGCGCACACAATTCCTTTGCAACGTAGTTGGCGCTACTATGGATCTGATACGCGAGGACCTGGAGCAGCTGTACATACTCGACCATGTCTACTACATGGCCAGAATATGTGCGCTGGCCGACAGCTGGCAGCTGGACAAGCTGCCCATACTGCGCCGGCAGGTGAGTCCGCTGCTGCCTGTGCCAACAATTGCAATTCAATTCGAGCTTTACCCTTGCAGGTGGTGGAGCTGTATGCCTTTGGCTACGACGCGGAGGCGCAGCAGTTGCTGCACGACATCAGCGAGGATGAGGAACTGGGTCGATTGCTGCTAGAAATCGCGGGGCGACGCTTGAATCTATATGCAGATGGCTCGCAGGCGGCCTTTCTAAAGATTGCATCAGTGGGTCACCAGCTGCTGGCATATCTGGACAACTTGGTAAGTGTGATCGGAGTGTGCTATTGATAGAGTTGAAATACTCTACTCTCTTTTTGTAGAAGGAGTCCAGTACGGAGCACAGCCTATCCATAAGTGCCACCAAGCCGGAGGAGATAAATATTGTACAGCTGGATAAACTGATTACCCATGTTTACAAATGCCTAAGCAAGCGCGGCTCGAAACAACTAATCACCGTTGCCCAGATGTACAATGCGGTGCGTATGCTGCAAACTTGAGGGAATCACTTTAATTTAAGCCCCAGAGCAATGGCATCCACAAAACAAAAAAACGTAGAACCAAATATACATTTCGATTAAGTTTTACCAACGAAGATTAAGGCTTATCTTTCTGTGCTTTGGCTATGCTGGCTGTGATCTGGACTGGAGCTGCATTGCGACTGGGTTTTTTAACGAAAGGCTTCATCTTGACCGGCATGATGTCCGGCTTGGCTTTAGCTGAAGTCGGTACGAGATTGGATTTAGCGGAAGTGGATACCCGGGTGCCTTTAACTGAAGTGGGTACCGGGTTTGCTTTAGCTGAAGTGGATATCGGGTTGGCTTTAGCTGATGCGGACACAGGGTTAGCCTTAGCTGGAGAGGATACCGGCTTGGATTTAGCGGGGCTGGTTTTAGCTTTGCGTGGACTGGATTCTGGTTTTCGGCCGGGATTTACTTGGCTTGGCATGAAGCTGACCTTGGGGCTGTTAGACCTGAGACGACTCGGACTCGGGCCAAAGCTCGTTCTGCCATAACCAGAACTGACGCCAGCCTTGGCAGAGCTAGCCCTGGCTTTACCTTGGCTGGATTCAGGTCTGGGCATGCCCAGTACAGAGTTAGTCTTTGGTTTGCCCCAAGTTGAGCTCGTCCGAGCTTGGCCCACTTGACCGCCCGCCTTGGAGCGGACTACTTTGTTCGGTTCCCTGATGTTGATGGCCGAAGCATTGGGATCCACTTTGCCCACGACGGGCATGTAATGATCCAAGTAGTTTTCACTTTTTACTTGGCCAATAATTGGCGGCGTTGGAAGATTCTCCATCACATCTGACGGGTGTACCCTCAAATGCGAATAGATGGGGACATACAGTTGCGACGTATCCAGCTCGATGCGCTGCTCGATTGCGCTGCGGCCGGGCAACTCGAAGTGCTTGCCGAGAATGGGTTCTCGGAGCGGACGGTCGAAGGGGTTCTTCATTTCAGTGCCTGTGTCTTCCACCTCGCCTTCATCCTCCCGCTCCTCGGTAGGCTTCGCTCGCTTCTTTTGGAACGAATGCTGTACTCCCGAGATAACTTTCAGTGTTGTAGAGCTGGCCACCTTTTTGATATCCGGCGGCAGGCGATATGGTCGATTTTCTTCACCAGCGCGCTCAAACGGTGACAGCTTCGACCAGGGTAAGACAGTGCCCAGAGTTCCCAGGTAGCGTCCACTCTGTGTCCAAAGACGACAAGAATAGTCGTGGCTGCCACTGGGTTAGGAAGGAACGGATTAGAGGCATGTGCATAAGTTGTTAACTATATTACCTGAATAAAATCTTTGGTAAATTAATGAAGCCTATAGAATTAATTGCCTTTAGATGTCCCTTGTAGGAGCTAACCAGCATGGGCTCCGGCTGATTGCGTACCATACGCTTGGCTCTCGTCAAAAATAGTTCCTTTCGCAGGAATATGAAGTCCAGTCGTAGCTTGGGCATACACACACGTATCTTCTCTTGCTCAGGAATGCTAGAGGTAGGAAAACTCCAGTCAGTTTTCCTCAAGAAAATAAAATAGGAATGCCTGTCTTTATTAAGTCCTATCTCGCCCCCACCATCAGTTCTAGTTATGAGTTATTTATTATATTTTGTTGCCAAAAAAAATGAGAAAATGGAATGGAAGTTGACTTTGTTTGCAATACGCCAAGACACGCAAAGGTCTTGCTAAGGAATTTTGTTTGTGGGTGGGATGACTAGGTCTACAAGTTGATACATATGTAGGATAATGAGTCGTGTCGTTAGAGTCAATTTGTGCGGTTGCTTTATGTTTCTTTACGTGCTACTACAATACAGTAAACTGTGACAGTTAAGGAAAGGCAAGTATGAGCCATCACTTGATGTTTGAAAAAAGAAGTCCGCTGTAACTATGTTAAGTGTGTCTATTAATGATTACAGAGCTTACGATCGTTAGCTCTACCACTGCTCTGTCAAATGACTTAACAGTGGCTCTTGCTGTCACTAACATTTTAATGTTACTTAACAGCGCTGTAAAGTACCCCCTTTAACATTATTTTAGCTCAGCAATCATGAAGCATAGCCACTGTTAAAAATGTCTGCTTTAAATTCTGTTAAGTAGCGGTTGCAACTCACCAATAGTTGACAATGTGCCAAATCTTGATATAGCCAAAGGCTGTGCCCGTATAGAGGTAACGATTCTTACGATCCGTGGTCATGGTCAGCACACAGTCGCCCACTTTGTGAACGGCTATAAATTCCTTGATATGTCCGCCATGCTGATGGTGTGAATACACTTGAATTATGCCCGTATCCAAAGAGATAAACACGCTGCCGTGATCCTTGGTCATGGGACGTTTCTGTAGAAAGAGCACAGCCTGCACCGAAACGGGAATATTGGCTCCATAATCTTTGATCTCATCCGGTCTGATAGCGAGCATGGACGCACTTCGCCTGTTCGCGCCCAGCAGCGAGGAAATTCGCTTGCTTCGACGTGACAGCTTCTCCTCTTCGGCGGTCAGCTTGAGCTCAATAAACTGGCTGGGATCCATTACATTGTAGCGGCGATACGGTTGTCCCGTCTCTAGTTTCCAGAAAATAATCTCGCCCGAATAAGTGGCCGTGACGACGCCCTCGCCCAGCTTGACATCGGCACAAGTAATGTCATCCGTATGAAATTTGGCCCATTTCTTTGGATCGCCATATTCACGACCCGCGACATCATTGAACTCGGTCACCTGTCGATCCCAGCCCATGGCCAGAATTCTGTGAAACGGACATAAATATGAAGCCTAACTCAGAAAGGATTCTTTACATAAATAAATAGCATTATACCACATACCGATCCACTACCCAAATAACAGCGGTTACCTCCTGATCCATCTGAATGCTCATATTGCGCACCACAACCGAATTGTTGTAGTTCCAAATCTTCAGTGAGCCATCCCGTGCGCCAGTCAGGAGGAACTGTTCGAGTGGATCGAAGCAAGCGGCCGTTATCTCAATGTCAATGGTCTCCCCATAGATTATTTTCGTATGACAGTTCTTCATGATGATCTTGCGACGACCCGTCCACGGATCCCACACAATAATGTAGCTATCGAGGCCACAAGTGACAATGTTACGAAAGAGCCGATTGTAGAGCACAACAGATACGGGCGCTGCGTGGGTGTTGCCATCGGTGAGGTCGACACGAACTCTCGGACAGCACTTGACCTGGATGAGCTTACGACCGGCGACCATGAGCTCGCGCAGATGCGAATGGTAATAGTATTTAATGTCCATTTCGCTGTGATGAATGATGCGCACCAGCTCGCCATAGGTCTGGAGGAGAGTGTGTTCCTGCAGATCCCAGACCTTGATGATCTTGTGATAGTCGACGCTATACACTTTGTTCTCCTCCGGCTGCACAAAGACGGCCACAATGCCGCCATTATGACCAGTAAGAATCGCAGATGGCTCCGACGAGATATAGACATCCCAGATGCGCACAAAGGTATCGGGTCCACCAGTGACCAATATGTTCTTCACCTCGGACACGTAGAAAACGGATACGCCCAATGGTATACGAAAATTGTTGCGATCATCGTTGCTAACCATGATGAGACCGGGACACCGGCCGCGATACTTCTTGGTGTTTCGATACTCGGCCGAGGCGAATAAGGCATTCATGTGCAGAGAAAAGTATACACAAGAGATGAGCTCATTGTGGAGATTTATGTATTCCTTTGGTATCAGCAGAGGAATACGACCACGCAGCACATCGGCCCACGTGAGCTCAACCAATGCCGCGCCTGGCTTCGCCTGGAAGGGACCCCGAAGATATGGCGAATATGAGAGGATGCGTACGTTTCCAGCATAGTCGCCGAGCACCAGCTTCGAGTGGGTCTTTCCATTGTTGTAGAAGGCATAGCTCATGCAATAGACGGCATAGGGCAAGCTCCGAATGACCATGCGGAGCGTAAATGTCGAGGCAATCGTCTCATGGAAGCGCAACTCTCGCTCTGTGGAGGCGGTGCAAACGATGCTCACATCTGAGAGCGCCTGCAGAGCGAGTATCCAGGTGGGTACCTTCAAATGAACTGCAATGGGTAATGCAAAACGGATAAGTAATAATGAATAATAATGTATAATATATAATATTTTTAGGACTCTTCTACATTTACTTACTGCTCTCGGAGACGGCGCTCCGTAGTGGCTCCATATGTGCGCTCCAAAACCGCAGCTGGCCCTCATGGCTAGCTGTGACCCACATGCCCGAGTTTTCGGGCGAATCTTCCCCGCCAAAGGAGTAGTTGGCCGACTCAGTCATATCCTCCAATGGAGTCTGATCGGATTTGACCTTGAGCAAGGTGATGCAACAGACAGCCGAACGATGTTCAGTCTTGCGAACAACTGGCGCCGATGAGATGGGCATAATCAGCGACTCCTTTTGGCTGCTGGGATCTTCCTCCTGAAACCCAAATATCAGATAGGAGACAAACTCATTCCAGTCCACCATAAAATCACGAGTTTGATTTATCTTCAAAAAGAGACGGGTATAGGTAAAATCGCTAAGGACGATGTCCACTTCCTCCAGCATGCGACGGAAGTCCGCACAGCCAACAACTTGATCTGGCGCACTCTTAAAACGCTCATACAGCCTCTGGAATTGTGCTTTGGAGATGCGATCGTGCAATCGTTCCGACTGCTCTTGGTTCACCTCTGTGGCTGTCGAGGAAATCGTTTGGTACTCAATGTTCGCATGGCTATCGCCGCTAGCAAAGTAGATAAGCGACATCTCGATTGATTACAAAATAAACAACAATGGGTCTTCGGCACTTGCAAATGTGTATTATAAACTTATATACATATATATAACTATATTTCTGCTGTGTTCGCTTTAAAGGATTTACTTAAAAGTGTACTAGATTAAACCTTTTTAGAGGCAGCGTGCAATCAATTCGTTTATGCCATTGCCACGATCGCCATACTCGCCGCCCCGCTTGAACGACACGGAGACCTTCTTCTTCCAGCCATCACGTGGACTTGAAAGCTGCCAATCAAATAAAAGATCCAATTAGTACATTATATC